TGTACACGGACAGACAGATGGACAGACGGACGGACGGACAGACATGGCTTAATCGATTTCTCTTTTCATTCTGAGCATTTATGTATACATTTGTCTATATCTATCTCGATTCTTTTTGGCTGTTAGAAACCCCCGTTATGCGAACAAAGTTAAAATAGCCTTGTGCACAATTGAGAGGCGAAAGCCTCTTTACAATCTTAGCCAGAATTGCCTCTATATTTACCTCTCGCTCCAATACAACTCAAAATATTACACCTTATAAAAGAGCGTCTGTCTCTTTTGTCTATCTAGCCCTGATAACTTAGTAGTTTTAATCGTTGATAAAGTCATTAAACAGCAGGAAGCGGTCATCGGGCAATCTTTTTTTCTAGAATCGCTCCTTTCTCCATTGTCTATTTCTGGATTAAAAGTTTGGCGGTGAGTAATTAATTGTGACTGTTTGCAACTAGGAAAAGCCAAGCTCAGCTAACTAATAAAAAAACTAATTACAAGCTATTCATTGCAGGTAAACCTTTCCAAGAGGTCACCCTGGAATTAAGCAAATCTGAGACCTTTATCGTTCGTAATTCCAGTAATTGAAATTATTATAAAAAACGGGGTACCTTTTTAACACAATAACAAGATTTTGAACTAATTCTGCTGGCAGCCACGACTTTCAAAACAGGATTTTCTTCGAAATTTTCATTCCTACAAAATAACAATTTATTAGCCATATCCACTTATTCACAATGTCGTGACGCTATAAGCACACATTTTTTCAAACCAGTCACAGAAGACAGGATTAAAAATGAATTACAAAAACTAAAATCGAAAAACGCTGATCACGTAACAGGTTCTCTAAATTCTGAAACAACCAAAAGAATTGGTTATCCAAATTGGGATACAACGGTGTTTAAACAGCGATCTTGCCATGATACTAGATTGTGAAGATGAAAATCAGGAGGATACATCCGACATTTGCAGCCCCGATGCAATTCTCGAATTATTGAACCGCAAAAAAAAAATAACTGAAGTCCTCTCAACTGGTGCAGCGTCAATCGAAATGAATATACAATTTTGTAAAGTTTCAAGTTTTTCAAGTTTATCGCCTCGAGCGAGTAGTTATTTAATGTCGCAGGTTTGATTTACGACCCGTTAGGAAACAGGCTGTAACCCGAAAAAGCAGCAAAATTACTCTTTCTTAAATATAATGTTCCAATTTTTTAATTTAAGTACTAAATAAAAAAAAATTAAAAATTATTAAATTTTCCATTTTTTATTTACCTAAATCACCTAATGTACTCACCAAAAAATATTTCTTAAAATCATATATGTAATACTTCTATATTGGCAGTAAGCTAACTTCTCAATGTGTAAGCATTTCGAAATCAGAGTGAGACAGTCTAGTACTGTTTTTGTCAATGTGTTGAGTACTTGAGTGCCGTTTTTGTATATGTGTTGTGTACATGTTTATTTATAACCGTATGTGTTCCTTTTCTTTCGTACGTGTTTATTGATATACCTTTACTGTAGTGTTTTCGGACGGTACTGGCTCTTACTGCCAATATAGGAGTATTACATATATGCTTAAAATACAGTAAAAGCTCTCATAGACGGACGCTCTAATAAGCGGACATCTCCTATAAGCGGACACATTTTGGGAACGAATAATTTTTGGTTTTTTCCCATACAAAATGCTCTCCCATACACGGATTTTACAATAAACGGACGCGGACACTCAAAAATGTCCAGTTATGAAAAAAACTCTCCCATAAGCGGACGCGAAGCTCTAACAAGCGGCCAATTTTGTTTTGTTTTTCAGTCAAATGTTGACTCTGGCGCTTCTACATATGTATCTATGTATATGTACACAAGAACATAGTCCATATTCAAAAATTTTTTATTTTCTAGAAAAAGTGTTGCCTTTTCGTTAAATTTGAATTTATTTGTAATCCACCCTGTTTCTGTCTATTGAAAAATAAATATTATTTTAATTTAGAAACCCTCAATTTCAATTTTTTAAGTATGAATTTTAATTTTATTTTTTACGATTTTCCTATAAACGGACATCTTTCATAGACGGACAAAAAAGGTGACCGTCGGCGTCCGCATATGGGAGCTTTCACTGTATTTGACATCCGCATTCGCATCCGCGGGTGTTAGCTTTTAAACATCCGCATCCGCATTCGCATCCGCGGATGTCTAAAATTCCATATTCGCAACATCCCTAGTTTCAAATATTTTGTGTTCAAAAAGCGGGAGTAATAAATTTTTTTCGCATCCCTTTAAAATTCGGAGCTATGAAAATAAAAATGATGCCGTCAATACGAATAAACCCTTTTACAAATGGTCCTCACTCACTGAGTGAGCCAAATATGTGAGGAGTTTATAGTGAAGAGAATGTAAATAACGCTACCGTTCTGAGTTTTTGAAACTGGAGCGCTTTTAAAAAATATAACTCCTCAGATCCAGAGCGCATGTTGATGGCTTTGCGAACTCTGTTTTAGGAGGGTCAGCGACTGTTACTTGTAAAAACTTGCATATTCCATCTTTCGATCTAATCCACCGAAACCGGTAAAATTTTGAAAGTGGTCTAAAAGGAAAAAAGTTTGGGAACCTCTGTATACACTGTAGTTTTTGGTAGGCGAAAACAAACTTTTCGTTTTTGTCATCAATTTACATTTCGTATGCGTAAGTAGGACAGTTAGATATTAATAATTGGGTTGTTCACACTTAGCTGGTTATCTGGTTATGTGGTTATATTTTTTATTCAGTTCACAACAATAACATACACTACAGAATATTAATTTTTAACCAGACAACCGTATTACCAGGCGAGTGTGAACAACCCAATTGATTTTTGTGAATATGGTTTTCACTTGATTTTGCCAGTCAAAATTCGCGTTCAAACTCGGCATTGTGAGTTTCCGCAATATAAACATTATGGAGAGGTACATATGTATTTCTTGAAAAAAATTTGGTTTCTAAATTTAAATTAACAAATTAAATTTATACAACTATCTTTATAGAAACATCATCATCCGATAGCGAGGATAAATGCAAAGATCCGAAGAGAGTTTTTCACAAATAAACTTAAACAACACAAAAATTTGTAATAAGCTGGAAACCATCACCTTCTTTATACAAAGGATTATTTAGAAAGGTCCGGTTATGAGAGCCATGATATACATATGTATGTACGTATGTAGATTTAAGGGCCAAATTCACAGTGCGTAGTTTAATTTTTGTACTGAAAAGCTGTAGTTAATTCCGGATTCTGAGATAACTACGCACTGTGAATTTGGCTCTAAATGAGAACAAAGATTTATTAAATACTTTAAAACAATTTACAAGACAAATTAAAATGTATATATTCTTATATATGTCGCACGTGTATGTTTTTTCAGTTCTCTGCAACTTTTTGTTAATTCCCAGTTTATCTAATATGTAGTTATAAAAATGCAAGTAGAAATACTTGCATGTTTTGTGAACTGGTCAAGTAAAACTGTAATGGATTCATGAACTTGCTATTTTTGTTTTCTAAATGAAATGTGTTATGGTTTTGTATGACAAATATATTTTTTATCGAAAAAAAATTGTTTTCCAGTTTCAATAACCTTTTAAAGGTTTTTTGAAGATTTTATCACTTGGAAGATTTTTAACAAAATTTTTCTGGTAACACTGGCTGAAATAAATAGACGACGAAAAGTGTCGAGAACTATCCGGTGCTGCCAAGTTTTTCCGTTTTAATACACTAGGTTAGTGGAAAGTTTAGGCAATGACGTGCAATTTTTAATACGACTCGACTCTCGACATGCGACTTGCACTCGGAACAACACTCGCAATGAAGACTGAATAATATTTTTCCAGCCGAAAAAAGAGCACAAATGTCCTCTCGAGAAGTACTTCTACGAGAATCATTAATATTGGGAAAAATTCTTTATACTTTATATACTGCTTTGTGGCTTTTGTTAACTGATAAAAGGTACAACTTGGTGGATGCCTAGCTTTACACTCACACAAGATAAAACGAATCACAAAAGAACGAATACCCATATCGTCACCTGAAATGCAAAATAACGTAACATCATCGTCACTGAAATTCAAAAAGTCGTAACTTATAAAAAATTCAAAATTCTTTTTTGATTTTCATGATGGATTTCATCAAATTACAACTCCCCACATCGCTTTATGAAAAAAATTAGTCACGACTTTTTCCATTTCAGTGGCGATGATATTACGTTATTTTGCATTGCAGGTGACGATATTATTTGTCAAACTAAATACTTGGTAATTTTTTAGATACATATGTATTATTCAACGTGTAGAACAATATGTAGTAAATTTTTTTGAAAATAAAATGTATGACCAACGAACAAAATATAAGGGGAGCTCACGTTGAGTAGCATTTTAGGTGTAAAGTTGCTACGTAGCAATCTAAATATCCCATGTTTTGTTGCTTTTCCAACAACAAAATGCGTGCTACGCAGCAACTTTACACCTAAAATGCTACGCAAAGTGAGTACCCGTAAAGTTTTGGTAATAACTCCTATGAATTGACAACTTTTTTCACCCCAAAAAACCACAACAGTTATTTAGGGTCTCTGGCCGAAACTGTTTTTTTCCAAATCAAATTCGACGAGGTAATGCAATACAAAAATTCGTTTTTAAGTATATATATCGCCTTTTCAACCTGCAAAATCAGCCCATAAAGCGCAAAGAACCAATAAAACCGCTTTCAGAATATATTCTTCAAAAGTTGTTTTCAATAGCTGCCTGCTAACTACGCTTAGTTCCTCAATGTTCTATATTTCGATTAAAATCGCAAAAAAAATGTAGATATTCTTCCTTTTCAATCTGGCATCGCTAACGCGAAAGCAGCCACCCCTTGGAGCATGTTTATGATGTCTGTACATATGTATGTTTACGCATAGATACGAACAAATATCCATACCTATTTGCGTACAGCTCTATTGCACGATAATTGCTGCAGTTTTCGCTTCGTAAGGTATACTCAAAAATGGAGCTTGCGCATTTCACGCTTAACGTCATGAGGAATGCTTACGCAGTGTTCGTGAAAAAAGCGGGCTTATCCGATAGTCTTGGAATATGTAGTTATGTTGAGATTTTATTTTGTAAAAATTTTTATAAAAATTTTAAATCTTAGAGCTACAACTAATACTTTGATAGAGTTGCATGTAACTTTTAAACGGGAAATGAATAGAAAGCGTGTACAATATGAATAAACGCATATGTAATTAACTGAAGTGATAGCAATAACTAGAACATCAACATCAACAGCACTTTTTTGTGTAATAGAGCACATACAATTTTTATAGATATACATACATATGTTCATTTGATGTCCTGTGCAAAAAAGAGTGCTTAAAAGTGATATGACCAGAAAGATGAGCATTTTCATATTATAAAATCGTAAAAGCAAACGTTTGCATGACAAGCACCTGATCGACTAAAAGAATACAATGGTTTACGGATAAGTGATAATCTGAGTATCTACTTATGTTTGTATTCCAAGAAAAATAAAACGTCGTGGAATCTAAAAAGTAATAAGTCTCTCGGTGATTTTATGTTTGTTTGCAAGAGAACACGGGATCTTTTAAAAGTATGTATTTAGAAATTATAGCTGGGCTCAGTTTGACCAAGCAAAAGCTCTACAGAAAACAGATTTAATAAAAACTGGTTTAAGAGTAATGAACTGTAAATGCCGGTTTTCGCTATGTCAAATTCAATGGCAGTTTTCGTCAAATAAGTGAAAATACGTTCTCAAATGGGATTGAAAAGCGGTTTAGCGATTGATTTGGATCAGGATAGGTCTTTGGTCGTGTACATGCGCTGCTAAATTGGCTATATGTCAGTTTTTGGCCGATAATATCATCGGTAAAGGTATGGATAAAGGAGATAAAGTTGTGTCAAAATATGTCGCCAAATTTTGGCGTCAAAGTATGACATAGTGAAAACCAGTCTTAAGATTGAAATTGTTATTTAATGCCTATTAAAAATATATGTATAATAGAATTGCCATTTGACTTGTGGATTAACAGTTATGCAATAAATTTGTTTGGCCTAAATTTAATAAAAAAATAAAGTTATGCACAATAACGCAGAGCAAATTTTTTTCAGGGATTGGTACGAGGCCGAGGGATAGCTCGTTAAAAACTATTACATTAAAAACAAGAGTTTCGTTAAAGAGCCACCCTAATATAAAGCATAGATACATGCGCATATACATGTGAATGAAATTGTAGTCACGGTATTTTCGAGTGTATCAAGAACTAATAAAATTAGAGAAGGGAAGCCTTTTCATAGTGGCTGCGTTTCTGTATACATTCCGGATAATCCCATTTCACAGCCACAATAAACAGAATGCGTTTGAAATATACGTCAACGTATCATCAGGAACGTTCTAAAGGATAAATAAACAAAAAAGTTTTCCAAACGTTCAGAATGAATAAAGAAATGCAGCCAGTGTGTTATTTCTTTGTTTTTACATATGTCTGCAATTTATCGACATGTTTAAATTGCTACGCCTTAAAAATGTTTTATTTTAAGCGCGCGCGTAAAGCAGAGGCTCCTTTATTAATGAAATAAAGACAGTCGCAAAAAGTTGTAACGCGGAAGCACCACGACTTTCTCAAGACATTGAAGAAATGTTCTGATATTCATACTCACTTACATATGTATGGAGAGTTGCCACTGACGAAAAAAATACTTACCATTCGCTTGAAAAAAATCTACCAAATCTGGAAAATATCTACCAATACCTTTTATATAGATTTGCTCAATTTTTTTAGTTATTTCTACAAAAGATTAAAATTGTTTTATTAAGGAACTTTTTATTTATCTAATGATATGGTATTTGAGATCATAACGGGTGATTTTTTAAGAGCTTGATAACTTTTTTTTTTAAAAAAACGCATAAAATTTGCAAAATCTCATCGGTTCTTTATTTGAAACGTTAGATTGGTCCATGACATTTACTTTTTNCGAACCGAACACTGATTTTGGTAATAAAATTCAATGATTTGCAAGCGTTGCTCGTTAGTAAGTCTATTCATGATGAAATGTCAAAGCATACTGAGCATCTTTCTCTTTGACACCATGTCTGAAATCCCACGTGATCTGTCAAATACTAATGCATGAAAATCCTAACCTCAAAAAAATCACCCGTTATTTATGGCAAATCGGTTTCCTTCTATCAAAACCGGAAATGATGAAACTAAAAACAGCAACGAAACTTCATTATTTGAAAAAACTGCAACTGTAGTAATTATAGACAAATATAGTGATTGGAGATTTTAATAATATTTATAATGTTTTTCAAGTAAACATTTTTGCTACTTTTGTATGCATAAGAATATTGTTTGTGCTTTAACCAAACCCGTAAAAATCAAGAATCCAAGCTATATATGTATGTACAACATTTGCAATAAAAAATTTCGGAAAATTTTCGAAATTTTTACTCCGAATTTTTATAAAAGTTTTGAGTTTACAGTTTTATAGCCTATTGAACTTAAGTATAACCAACAATGTGGAAGCAAAAAATTCCCATTGATTTAAAATTTCTTTGTTTAATTACGTACTTGTCCAGTTTTCATTTTATCTAAATAATCATTTAAAATATTTTGGCAACCGAAATTTTTGAATGGAGCAGGATATGTTCGCCTTTAATTGATATATGTACATTTGAAAGGTCCAAACAAAAAAATTTCCAAGATAGGGTTTGGGGCACCTTCCAAAATTTTTCCTCTTTGGTACCAGCACCTTATGTTTCTAAATATAAATTTAGAGGATGCTCATATTGTACTCTAGATGTAGTGTGTACATATATTAATCCAACAATTGGTTAAGCAACCTAAAAACCTTTCAAATTTAAATTATCTAAAAAATATCACAAGCTTCAATTGTCATGGCAACAGTATCTTTTTAAAAAAATCACCAGTTTCATAGCGATCCAAGCGTAGCGTATTTCCAGGTCATTGAGCACCCTGTATTGGTTGCAGTAGAAAACTGAAAGTTGGTTTATATATTACAAATATTAAAAGGAAAAAACTAAGGGAGTGCCCGGTTTTCTTGTAAGCAAATTTTTTTGCGAATACAAAAATTGGACCACTTTAAATGTACAAACATATGTTTTTATGTATACATATATAAAGTGTGCGCGCTTTAGTGCAATAACGCAAATTAATGCAATAAGGTAGGCTAAACTTTTATAACAAAACAATAACTAAGAATAATAAAGCGGAAATAAAAAGTTTTATTTGTATTCAAACAAAATACTTTAACAAAAATCTACCAAAATGAAACTAAGTTTACCTTTTTACTAACCCAAATTTTGTCTACCAAATTTGGTAATAATTTACCAAAGTAGCAACCCTATATATATGTACACATATATGCACCTAAAATGTAATCTCTCATCAATACCTGTTGCCATAATGAATTTAATATTTCAGTTCTTCAACCTGGTTCTCCTATAAATGGAAAATATTTAAATTTGCATCTCGGTAAATACAAGTACGTGCGCACATGTACATATACAATACATTCAAACTTAATGGAATAATAATAAAAATCAAACAGCTATCGATTTGTTCGAAAACTAAACGCGACTCATTGTTTACATATTTAGTACCACGAAGCACATAAGGAAAAAGTGACGATTTAGCTATACAAAAATAATTAACTAATACAATTGATTTGAGGTGTGGGAAATTAATATTATATGATGGTTTAAAACCATTTAAGCAAAAATAACAGCATTAATGAAAATATATGTAAATTTACCGACCCCTGCGAAAAATTGTTTTATCCACTGTGATATGAAATAAATAATAGTAACAGAAAAATATTGTACAAGTTGACCTTGGACAACATAGGGGTTTCATAGCAAATTGAAAATTTGGAGATTCATCGTTTCACTTTTGTATTTTTATATTTTTTATTTGCCAATCAGATAATGTAAACAAAATACAATTACTCCTAAAGCGCTTCAAAGGGACAGCTAAATTTTTGTGAGGACTTTCTAAGCAAATCAGAAAATATGTTTATAAAACAGTCACCGACTATCACTCGTGTCGAGCAGACGTGTTTATCGCTGTCATTTCGCCCCGAGCTCAGTTTACGACTTCTAGTTGTGCATTAAGCGTTTCGCCCTCTTCCTCTCTGAATTGAGCTGTTAACTAAATTTTAGTACTTCGTAGTACAAAAATAAATACACAAATTTTACTGTGGTGCATAAGACGCGGCGCCCCCCGGGCCCCCCAATCTTGGGACAACAGATTTGCCCCACTGGCCTCTGATCCCCAACCAAAACGAAAAAAAATTAAAAAAAGCATTGAGACTTTCCCTAACCTTCCATAAATCGAAACAAAAAATCTTAAATACATAGTGGTATCTTCCGCTGATGACAACAAACCATTAATTAAATACAATCGTTTTGCAGTTCATTCAGCCTTAAAATTAATATGTAATACCATGTCCCCACCGGAGCTAACCACGTAGTTATGGCTACTGAGTTGGTTATCCCGATAACCCGCTTGATTTAGCGTAGTTTCGCCATATAAAAATGACAGCACTTAACCATTTCACTGAGATGGTTAAAAGCTAACCAACTCGAAACCACGTCGAGAGTCTGATACAACCCTGTGTTTTCCTGCCATCTGTGGGTCATTAGCGTTAAAATGTAAAGAATTCGTTCCCTACTAGTGTTTGGACTCAGCTAAAATCAGATTAAATTTACTCCGGTTTTTAAAAAAATTTGAAATCAAGTCTTCTACTCCGCTTGACTTCAAATCTATTCCGTTTTTTCATTCATGTTATGCCCCTCTTGGGGCCGTTTTTTGAGTGTTCACCACCGGTTTAAGTAAAAAATTGAAAGTTAGCCAAATCTCACTGTTAAAAAGTAACTTTTTCATAGCAATGCGCCAATAAAGTAACTTCGTTATTTTTTGATGTATGGCTGTTCAAATTGGCGGATGCAGAACTTTACTTAAGTTGTTAAAAAATATATGTAAAATGAAATTTATATAAAGTAGAAAAGGTTTTTTTTTTTTAAATTAAGTGTTAGATACGTTCTACTATATAGAAAATGCTAAAAATTACCTAAATTGTAACATATCCTTACATTGCCTCGCGTACTTATTTTGCATGAATAGAAAATATTTTAGTCAAATAATTAATGTCAGAAACAAAAATTCAATCTAATACGGAAATTTTGTTTCTGCTCCGATTTTTGCAGGAATTTATTCCTGAATAGATTTTTGGAAGTCCGAACACTGTTCTTTACATTTGTACTGTTTTATAAACCTTAAACCGCAGTGTGGACAGCAATAGTTAGTGAGGTGGTTAAGTTCGATTTGAGATGGTTAACTTTTTGGTGGGGACATGGTATAAGGATATTATCAAAATTACCGAATTACGTGATGGCAGTCTGTGCCTATTATTAAAAGACAAACTGACTGCTGAAAAGTTCAATCGTACTAAGTTTTTACACGGTGTCTGCGAAGAGAATACAACGTATCACGACAAACTAAACTACACTAAAGGCACAATATATGCCCCATGCTTAATCGATCTCAATGAAGACGAAATTGTTAAAAACCT